CCCCAAACCAGATAAACTCATTCCTTTTTTCTTGTTACTTAGCCATATGGATGGATAATTTTGATACAGCGGGTAATTATAATTCAATGGGTTTTCTTGACTTATCGTACTCCACTTTGAGGGTGCCCTAATTCTATTTCGTGTCACTACTAAATTAATAAAAATGCTTTTGTGCTAACCGCTTGTAAAAACGTTACTTGATTACCATGGCGATGAGTAAAAATATATCAAATGATTACAAACGAAAGATATGCGGTTATTCAGTGGGTTAAAGTTACTGGCTTTATATTTCTCAGAATAAAGTTTACTTTCCATATGAATTTTGATAGTAAAATCGAATTAAAACTCTAAACTTTTAATCAAAGGTATCAAGATCAAGATGGTGTGACCTTTTGTATGGTTGTGGTCACATTTCGTGGTATATTAGTTGTTTGGCTTTGTTTTCCCAACTTAATCATATTGGCAGAAAGACCGAGAGGAACGCTGGCAGGATAAATTCCAGAGTTGGACCGTGAACTTGGTACATTCCCAGGCGTTTCTATGGCGTTTCTATGACACTATTGAAGTCGATTCCTTAACCCTTTGTCGGCTAAACTGTTGCAGTATCTTTTCTGTCTTGGTGCATTCACCAATCCTATATCCTCGTAACACACCTTCACTATCACAATTTCTCCCTTGCTTATCTAAACCTAGTTGAGGTGTACCCTTCTAGCGGATATTGTGAGACCTATTCACGCTCCCTGCTAATCCCCACTTCCCCCCCTCTGCTGGGAGTGTTGATCTAAGATTGCCGTTTAGTTCTTCAGGCACTATCACAATCTCTCTCTTACTTCGTTCAGTGATTACACTCCATCATTGCTACAATATACGTGCTACTTGAGACGTTATGTTCCATAATCTGCCTCAAGCCTTTGTTGGGCAAGTATACGCCAGCCTCATTGAGCAATCCCCCTAAGTCTGGATTCCCAATTGGCATGACAACCAAACTTGACGCTGTAGATTCCATTGTCGTTGTTCGGCACGTACATGTAGGTAAGAATGGCGATGCCAACTGGGCGAAACGGCTGGGAACGTACCAAGTCCACGGTCCGAGTCAGGAAATTATCATGTACACAATGTAATCCAGACAAGGTGTGTTGCTCTAGGTCTTCTCTAAACTTTTGCTTCACAATATACTTTTGGATGCCAACGTGATTTGTACATTGCGAAAAAATATTTTGCTATAGCTGAAATGGAAATATGTACGTCTCAGAAAGGCATTTATCTTTCGAGCAAAAATCCATCTTACACTAAGAAGGAAATTTAATTGGCTAAATCATTTGTGAGAGATGGGAAAGTAAGGCACACATAAAAAGTTCTGTGAAGTAAGCTTAATAGTTTGTAGAAGTGGGTTGACCTTGGTCTTGTTGTCAGGGCGACTTAGTAGTCGTCTGGCATAGTAGTTGTTATGATTCCCAGCATTAGACAGTGGACTTGGTACATTCTCAAACTTTTAGCCGGCATCGTAGTCGGCCTCATCTGCACCAACCTACAAACTCGTCAAAAAGACAAATGAAGTCAATCCCTCGACAAGCGTTCTGCCGAAAACGGTTACACTATCAGTCCTCTTTCTGTCATTGTCTATCTACTATTTACACTCTTACCCCACTGCCGCTCTATCACAACTGTTCACTTGTTTACATTCCACTCGTCAAAATGTGTGCTCCCTTTTGACACATCTTATTTACTTTTTTAAACTATCGTAAACGTTATGGTATCACTCCTTAGTTATGTGACCTTAAAAGAGCATACTACTCGGATAAGTTTAATGAGTATCTCCACCAGGCTTCTATTCAGAACTTTATAAGTTGTTTAAGTTTATAGATATTAAGTCAGAGTACCGGAGTGATTTGGCCAGGATCCTGTCTCAGAAAGATTTTCAAAAACTCAAGAGCATGACCGACAGGAAATCACGTAGGATTTCTGGCTAAATAACAAAACGACATGGTAATAGATTGCGTAAGTTTGGGATTATAAGACAGCCCAGTTGAAGTGGCTTCCGAGGTGACAACACTGACTGATCAGCACGAGGATAGTAAGAAAGTGGTACATTTTTCATCAATTCCTCTCAATCCCAAAACAACTGCGTTCCTGGAAAAAGGACTGCATTTTTCAATGAAATTCAAGCTAACGAGTCGAGAAACTCACCGGAAAATACCTACATCTACATTTGCATCTGGCCTCTTTGATCATGTTTTTAAAGTGATGTGGTTAGTTAAGGTCATACGTCAACTTTGATGCATGTGAGTGTGTCTGCCTCTGTATGTGCATGTGCTTGTTTGTTTTCGCTTATGCACGAAACCAGCAGTGATGGCTCAAAGTAATTAGTGCGAAAAAAAGTTGGGTTTCGATGAATCTCTTCTTTCATAATTGTTTGGCTTACTTCCATTTCGAGTGAAAGTATTGCGTGAAGAGATTTTCCGGTAGGTTTTCTTGACTTGTCAGCTTGAATTGTGTTGTGACGAGGATAACTTGCTCTGATGATGTTCGTGACATGACGGACGAAAGTTTAGCACCTGTTCACCGAAATCGAAGGAGATTGCCTCGGAAACAGCGTCAGCATGAATCTGCCGGTACGGCCAAACGACAGCTGGTCAAGAGGAGCCCACCGTCGTCTTCTGGTGGAACCGACTTTAGAATCTTTTCACGCAACACTTTCACTCGAAATGGAAGTAAGCTCAACAAAGTGATTAGGACAGCAAAAAGAAACATCTGTTTTTGGCCATTAAGGTTTGATGAACTTTATCTCTTCCTTTCTACATTTAAGTTATAACCATCACTCCGATTGCGCAAGGTCAGACATGTCTGGTGCTGTTGATGAGCTTATTTTCTTCTTTTGGGTCTCAATGCGAGAGAGAAAGAGTGAGCTAAAAGTACAGAAAAGTGACTATGATTAGAACCAAGACAACCGAGACAGAAACCATTATTGAGGTTGTTTGATGTTGTTTTCGCAACTTGGTGGTAGTGGTGGGATGACTTAGAAGAACGCACCTAGTCCGAAGTCCATTGTATGCATCATCATTTCCAAAGTTGGGCCGTGCACGTGGTACATTCCCAAACGTATCGACGGCATCGTCAGTGAGTATCGCCATTCTTAGCAGCACACAACAACTCGTCAAAGAGACAAGTGAAGCCAATCCTTTTGAGCAAACGTGTGCTAAACATTTGTGGTATCTCCCCGGTGTGAAGGGGGTCAGAACGACAGTGTGGAGCGTGAAGGATTTTCATAAATACCGCCCAAACAAACACACCATTACATCGAAAAAGTGTAAGATTGAAGATGTGACAGGAGGATATAGAAAATGTA